TTCACTTGTATGAGAGGAGAAGGTGGAAGTTCTTCTTGGATGGTGCCCTCTATCAATTTTTTTAAAGTTCTTGTATTTTATATATATATATATTTAAAGAAATATATTGCCCAATTATTCAGGACTATCTTTTTAGCCAATTAGATAGTTTTTAATCTGATTGATTAATTGGTTAAATGTTGTAATCTTATTCAAAATGCATGTATTTTGCCATGTATGAAGGATAAGATGTGATTTCTTAACCAGCTGGTACACTGTCTCATCACATATAATCTGCAATAGCTAGTGTTACCTTCCTGTGGTTTATAGAAACCAGTTCAATGAATCTGTATCAGTAAGGTACTATCTGAAAGTGCATGGAGAAATACCAATACACGTGCAGGCACTTCAACAAACACTGGTCATGGGCCTCATAATCTGAACTCTATAGTTTTCATAGTTACCATTAACGCTCAGATATATAGTCTACAACCCTTCAAAGAAGGTGATGTCATATACGTGCTTGTCTCTTACACTGGGCCACTGTCTGTGACACAACAGCATATAAATCAGTGACAAGAAGAAAAGCAGGCATGCTGAAAGTTAGAGATCCAGGACATTTTAAGGAGAGTAGTATAAGAATATCAGAATGAAAATTTGACAAATTTTCAAGTAGCGATGGGTGAACAACCTTGAGAATACACTGAATATTATAGTTAACCACTCCTTGAGGTAATTATCTGAGCATTTATCTTTATGGCTCAAAAGATGAAAAGTCAGCCCTTCCCTGCATGCTAACCTCTTCCTAAGGAAAAGAAATACTTCATTCTGGGAAGGGGATACATAGAAGGAGCTGGAAGGCCACAGCAACAACAAAAGAGTCCAGAATAAACTTCTCTTCTATGTAGAAACTATACCAAGTGTCAAATCCACTGCAGATTATGGAGCTTATAGTGCAAATGTGAGAAATGTGAGAAAGAAAGTGTGAGAATTATATCTGCAGTATTAAACCTAGAGGACCAGGAACCAGATAAACTATAGACAAAAGTCAGGAACATAATAAAAGAGAAATGCAGAAAAATGATACCCATGGCCAAAAAGGAGAAGAAACAATGGATAACAGACAAAACACTCCAAACAGTTAAAGAAAGAAGAGAGGCAAAAGAAAAGGGAAATAGATCCATGAATGCTATTGCCCAATGAATAGTGTGCAAGCATAAAAAGATTTACTACAATAATCAATGCAGAGAAATAGAAATCAGCAACAAAAAGGAAGCACAAGAGACCTCTTCCACAAGATCTGAAAGATCAAAGGGAAATTTAAACCAAGGGCAGGGATGCTCTATGATAAGAAAAGAAACATAACACATGACCATGATGAAATAAAAAAGTTGGAGACATATGTACACAGAAGAGCTATACAAAAAATATGAAAGGTCAAATGACACATCGGAAGAAGAAACTTATGAAGATGAACACCATAGCAAAATGAAAGCCACACTAAAAGCAATTGTGAAGAATAAATCACCAGAACAGATGACATACCAAAGTGCTACAATCTGCAGAGACAAACTCAAGTATAGTTCTAACTAAAATCTGCCAACAAATATGGAAAACAAAACAATGGCCCAAAGACTGGAAGCAATCAATATACATTCCCATCTACAAAAAGGAGATACAAAAGACTGAAGTAATTACAGAAATATTGCACAGATTTCCCAAGAAAGCAAAGTCATGCTCAAGATATACAGATTCCTTGTGACTGGGTGGGCTATAAATTATTATTATTATTATTATTATTATTAT